ACTAATTCAGTTACTCTCCACATAACATGTTTGTCTCAAAGTCATATCATACGCACTTTTCAGAGTCATGAGCAAGTTGAAAAACTTTTCATTAAAAAAGTCTGTGTTGCAACAGGAAGAATTCAGTGGGTGAGTGTGCATGGGGGACAGCTTTGGGGTCCTTTAATTTGTTTTTTTCTCACAAGTCTTTTGGCCAAAACCAGGAGTGAGAACTGCAGCCTCAGAAGTTCATCAATAGGATTTAAGTCATGGTTTATGGTGTATTAAAGAGAGGAAGTATTAAATGAGATTAAGATTTTCACATTAAAATTCTTCTGTAAAATGCACTTTTTTTGTTCTATTTTAGACGACGTTTTTTTTTAGTACAGGATCCAAGCTTCCTTATTGGGTTTTGTACAAGTTGAGCAAGAAGTTAGGAAAATGAACCTAATATCCTAATCCTGCTCGAGCTGACCCAAAGGCAGGCTCCACACCGCTGCCCCTGCTCCTCTCCCCAGGCAGCAGTAAGGACGTGCTGGACAATCTTCTAAAAACCACCTGAGCCTCACCACACCACTCCCAAATGCAGCCATACGTTGTGAAGACGTGAGGCAAAGGTGAGCCCCACTGACAGAAAAGGGTGTTGTGGCATAATTGATTCGTTAGTGCTGGAGGTGACGAGCAAGGGGCTCATTCTAGGTGGGATTCGATGGCTCTTCATTCTCTATTATATTTAATCGGGTGCAACCTACACTGCACTCAGCCTGATGGGAGTCATATAATATTTGCCTTCAATCTCTGCAAGGTGTCTGAGGTCCTTGGAGGCATCAGAAGGCAGCCATGCACAGAAACCAGACTTGACAGCAGCACCTTGTCTCCTCAAGGGGCGTGGGGATGTCAACGTCCTTGCTTGCTTTTTAGAAATTCATCAAGGAGAAACCTAAGTGGGTGTTGAATTTCACAGTCATGACACAGTCCAGCAAACTCCTCCTGAGAAGAGTTTGAGTGGTTCCCACCTGCACTGTTGGATCCCTTTGGCCTTGACAGCAATTAGAGTCCCTTGTGATGTTTCTACACTATGTCCCGCTGGATGTACAAAATGATATCATTAAATAGGTCACTTTGTCTCTCTTCATTATAGTCTTAATTTTATATCTCTGCCCCCCATCCCCTATGTGCCTGGCTGTTTATTCGGCTTGAAGTCAGACATAAATGGTAGTATATGAGTGCATCCTACCCTTGATGGTGAGTGAACATGAAATGTAGCTAATTCCTGTTGAGGACCTGCCTCTAAAATATTTGGTACAAAGAAATGTTCAGTACAAATGGGAGATGACACTAATTGACAATGCCATGCAGTCACCAGCTTGGCCAGTGACCCCGATGCTTCCTCATACCTAGCCATTCCCTGCTTTACACTGGGGATGGGGGGAAAATGTATTATATCTCCCAGAGAAAGGCATTTTGCCTTTTGCTGCAGGAGTTAGGGACCATTTGCCAGAGGAAAGCACTGGGTAAACAGATTTAATCCTGCTCCCTTTCAAGTCATAAAAAGCAAGGTTGGACCCAATGCGACAAAATGTCCCTGTTAACTACTGTGTAGCATACCAAACAGCCTGGTGTTGCAATAAAATATTTATAACTAATCATTTTGTTAGATGAAACATGTACTTTAGGGCACCTTTTATAATTAACAAGCAGTGTTCCAGTTAATTTTGCACATGATGTTTCACAGTTTATTACCAGGTACTACAAGGATACATAATAATTACCTACAAACAACTGCCCATATTAAGCTGTAGTATGGCAAACAAAAGCAATTAAGCTCCTGGGAAGCTTAGTATTATCTGTTTGTAAACAAGTGTAAGGGTAGGACCTCTGCCAAAAAAAAAAAAGTTGGGTTAGTGGGATGATAAAGCAATAAACCTTCCAAGGCATGAGAATGTTATGGTGGAGCCACAGTAATGGAGTAAAGAGGATGTTTTAGCAGTGACTTTAATGAAGGTGGACTTTGCTGACAGATAATGTTTAAAGATACTGGTAGAGTCAAGCTGTACTTAATGATGCATCAGATGACCTGAGCGCTGTCATTAACATTGAAATAGCGGCTCATGATCTGAGTAAGGCATTCTTAGTGGATTACGGCCACATGAACATATCCAGCGTTTATCATTAAGTTGTCTAAGTTGCAGATCAGAAACTAAAAGAAGATGTCTGAAGTGTTTGTGCTGAAGTGAAACCTCCAACACTTGCTATTCATCTCGTTCTCAACAAGCCTGAAGCTGTGGATATAAGGAACTGCTAGAGATGCGTTCTGACCTAACCAGAGAGCAGAGATGTAGCACTCTTAGTTCACTGACTTGATCACAGCAATCCGGAGTGCTAAGCCATCTCCTATTTGTTTCTGCTGTGGAAGCATAGAACAGCCACTACCACCACTTCCCGTGGATGTTTGGCAGGACAAGCCTAGTCAGGAAGAGCTGGGCTTCGTCTTGCAGTCACAAGCAAGAGTAGGCTTAAAACAACCAAACCTCAACATTTTCCTATTACAGATGTCGTCTGAGGAGACAGCTTCAAATGCTTATTGAAGCATCTTCTGAGGATTCTTACTTCTGAGGTTAGAACTAGCAAAATGGGTATCTTGTCCCTTTTATTCTTGCTTGGCATAAGCAGGGTGTACAGCGCTCAGACTGAGCAAGGGAGGAGGAAGCCTGGTCTTGGTGCACCTGAGCAAGCCTCCCTCCCTCCATCTCTCCCTTCTTCCCTCCTTCAGCTCTTCCTAGCACAGACCCCAGCACTCCCTTAGGAGGCACGGAGTGGAAAATTCCCCTCTGATGCACTGTCCTGGTTGGGGCTGGAATAGAGTTAATGTTTCTTTTTGGTAACTAGAATAGTGCTGCGTTTTGGATTCAGCATGAGGTTTGGTATGAGAAGAATGCTGATAGCACACTGCTGTTTTCGGCTGCTGCTGAGATTTCAAGGACTCTCTGACTCCCCATGTCCTGCCCATGCGCAAGGGAGGGAGCACGGCCACAGCACCAGACCCAAACTGGCCAGTGAAATATTCCATGTCATGGAATTGTGCATTGTGCATCGCCCATTTATATTTTCTATTACAGTCATTGTCTTCATTTTATCACCATTATTAAACTGCTTCTATCTCAACCTACGAATCTCCCTTCACCCCTCCAATTCCCTCCCCTATTCCCAGGTTGGGGGGAGGCACTGCTGCCACATGGGTCAAAGCCAAGGGAGGGCCGGGAGCTCCGCACACCCACTGCCAGGGACATGCCCAAGTCTTGGGTCCCAGCACTGGAGGATTAGCCCATCCCATGAATTCACTGGGAATGTGTCATTTTCTGTCCTACTCTGAATGCAAAAGGCTGGGGCTGGCTCTGCTGGTTATTTGGGACCTGGTAATTCTCACAAATTTGTTACTTTTATTGGTGCTCTGGGTTCAATTATTGCAAACTGCTGTGCAGCTTTGCAAAGCTGATGTGTGCCTTCAGCTCTCACTGCCTTAATCGCTGGTCTTTTGGTAACCAGTATCTATGACATGAATTAGCCATCTGCGAAACGCTGCCCTGCTGTACCTGTGCCAAATCCTTATTTGAGATCAGGGACTGAGAGGGGAAAATGAGCCTCTGCGTACAATTTTCTTGCAAAACGTTTCTTGACTGTTTCTTTTTTTAAGGCTGTGTCAATATTTGGCTCATGTCCTCTGTGGAGGTAAACATTTATGCTTCAAATATAATGTAAAACCAAAGTGAGAAATGAAGGTCTTTAATGATGTTCAGTTTGAACGCTGACATAATTTTTGCGAATTTTCACTGCATTTAACTTTCTTCTTTTTGTCCCGTATTATCTTGGTCTGTTTGCAGGATAACTGATGTTCCCCAGGCAGTCTAGCTCTGGTTAGGAACACCCACCCTGGTTGCTCCATTTGGATATTGTTGCACCAGTTTCTTTGAGTTTGCCCTAAAAGCGGAGGCAGGACAGCTGAAGAGACATACAACCAGATGAAAAATTCCTGGTTTCCTTTTTCATGCTGAAGCCAGCAGATGGTGCTTACTGCCTTTACACACTTCTCGGAGAAACCCTATACTATTCCCTAGTTTATTTATGGTGTTTACCAGGGAAGAGTTATAAGGCTTACAGCTACTTGTCACTTTTCAGAGAGCTGAAGGATTGGGCTCTGAAAGCAAAACACATCCCACAGTGTTGAGAGCTTTAGGATTTCAAACCCCTACGAGTGTGGTTGTTTTCATGGACTGTTTTCTCAAAGTGCTGCTTTGCTGCCATCATAATTGTTTGGGGGGGGTTTTCTTTAAAATTGGAAGGTGGAGGCGGGAGGAGAGCAAGTTGTACCACCTCCTTGGACAGGATTCAAAGTGGAGCTTGCAGAAACGGTTTGTAAGAGACAGATTATGCCTCTTGTATGGGGTTGCCAAGGCTCAGGGGAGCCTGTGCAAGTTGGGGTGATTTGCAGGGAATACTGAGTAGTGTGTGCTTCCAGGAAGGATGCTCTGAGACCACTTCAGTCCAGAGGAAAAGGGTGATAAACTCTCAGAAAAGCATCTTTGCAATCCATTCCCAGCACTGGTAAAGAAGTACTATCCATCCTCACTGCCAAGGGGAGAAAGCTGTCGGGTTCCCACATGTGCTTTGGGAGACCTTTACACCTTGAATATTTTCTCAGAACAACTACAGCTGTTCTCTCTCCCAGTGTGACTTACATCTGCTGGAATGTGCACAGAGACTGGGCTACATGGATTTAAAAAAGCCTAAAAATAAAAAGTATATATCAGAGCTACTCTGTGATGGAGAGTGTCAGCAGCAGTGTGCTGAAGATAAAAGACTCACATGTACACCATTCACTCCCATGCAAAGAGCTTACCTTCTTCTTGTTTATTTAATTATGTGTTTCCTTTCTACAGCCAAGAAACCAGAATAGAAAGTCACCCAGCAGACTGCACCTTCCTGTGAGCACATCTTTTATTCAGTATTCTCTTTCTCTTGTTCTTTGTAGCTGAATTATTATGACTCCGCTACAGAAGTGATTTCTACCTCCAGCCATGAGTCGACAGCTTTAGTAATAGGTAACAATTTTGCTTATCTTTAAAAAGGGTTGGAATTTCTTTCAAGATAATGTGTGCCCAACCAGCTCTCCCTGCTTCCAGCCCCGCCAGTGTCAGTGCTACATGCCTCCTCTAGGAGTAGCCTGAGGTTTAAACTTTTCCTTTGATGATGGAAGCAGAAGCAGTATTCTCTTTTTAGGTTCTTTTTTGGTTGGATTTTTGTTTGGGTTTTTTTGTTTGTTTGTTTGTTTTGTTTGGTTTGGGGTTTTTTTTTGTTTTTTTGTTTGTTTGTTTGTTTGTTTGTTTTTTAATGGATTATCTGTTGTACAAGCACAGCTACATCTTCTACATAGGAGGGCAATTTCTAAACCCATCAAGGCTGATTAAAAAAAGCAGCAGCCCTGCAGCTGGGCTAGCCTAATTTCCTGGCCATTCTTACCAGCTTTGGCAGCTAACCCAGGGGAGTGAGAATTGCAAGGAATCCATGCTGCTCGGTACTCCATTCCTGCACTCTTGCATCCTCAGGTTTTCTCCAGACAACATTGTTTCCTCCTTTCTGCACAGTTATACTGGAAACTTTGTGAAGTCTGAAATATCGGTCTTTTCCTGAGACTGCCAACTAGTTTTTTTTACTTCACTGGAAATAACGCAATATAAAAATCTCTGATGATTAATATCTGTATGATTTGATCATGTGTGGGTAGTGTGAATCAAAGATTTTCTAAGTGATGTAGCAGAAGAGCGTGTCTAGTTTTGTCAGAGAACAGGAGGGGCTTGGCCCAGTTTGAACCCTTGCTGGCGACTTAGTGCATTTCAAATACCTGGAGCTCAGATCCATGGCATTAACACTTTGTATTAATCAAGATAAAAATAGACATATGGAATAATGTTTTAGTTTTCATCTGTGTCCAGGAGTGCCAAGCACCTGCCCTTTAATCTAACTTTCTATCAATAACTTTAAAAATGGGTATTGAAAACAAATGTTAAGTGGTTACTGAAGTATTATCAGGCTGCTTAATTTCTGGGTTATGTCATGTGCAGGCTGACTTACCTTGATCCTTAAATAACCAGTCTACAAGAAAAAGGCTTGCATATTCAGTTCACTTTCTGTCCTATTTCTGGGACCATGGTGCGAGCACAGGTCTTGTAACTGAAGGTGAAAAGTGCTCAGCAACTTCATGGCCCCATTTCAGCAAAGCACAGGCAGCTGCCAAACGCTGAGCTCCGTGGCAGACATGCAAATAGGCTGCTTTGCTTTGATGGAGTGAAGAAATAGGAAGGTCTCTAAATCTGCTTTCCTCCCAAAGAAGTCAATTGCAGAGCTCCTCTCGATTTCAGTGAGAGAAAAGCCCTCTTTCAAGGGTAAGCAAATAAATGTATTTCACCGATACAGAGATCAGCACTCACGCAGCTTTGCAATGTGAAACGCTGAGCATCTCTAGCATCACGGTGAGCGCTGTGCTGCCTTGCTACAGGGTGCTTTATCACCCAGCCCAGACCTTCCCCCACCCGGGCTGCCTTCATCTGCCCACAGAAGCAGAGCACGAGGAGTCACGTCTCTTCCAGGTCACCTTGGGTTTCCATAGTGACTATTTGAATGTGATTGTCTTATCAATCAGAACCTCCTTTACTCTCATAAGCAACTATAAAATCTCTTCTGGTTTCTATAGCAACTGTCTTTAAATCCATATATTTGTTTTCTCTAGGCTTAGCTGAATTGTCAGAAACAGAGAAAATTAACTGCTGGTACAATATTTCTTATATTTTTTCCCTTAATCTATCATTTACTGTCATCCAGAACAACAGTTATGGTGAGGCTACTGTCCTTTTGTTTCGGTTACTTAAAGATCCTCTTTGCTGCCTAACCACACGAGCAATGTCTCTTAAAAATCATTATTTTCACGAGGAACGTGAAACCTCTGGAGTTCAGTCTTTCCCTTCCCAATTCAGACCCCTATGTCATTCTGTTCCCAGGCACTTAGAAATAAAAATGGAGCTGTTTTGTTACCCCCAATCACTTCTTGTAATAATATGCCAGAACAGTACCTTCCCTCCAGTAACCTCAATGCAAAGTACAGTCGTTACCTTACAGCAACTCTGTGAGTTAGTCAAATATTATTACTGGTGTAGTATCAAGAATGTACACAAGGTTAACAGCCCATCTATGCTGCAGACCAAATAAATGTCATGAAGGTTATTTTTTTTTCAGCCCAAATGTGGTAACTGCAGAGAAGGCCGATATCACATTGTTTATGGTTTCCTTTCACCAGACAGCAGGCAGGCATAAAGTTATCTAAAAGAGCTGACACTAGCACAATCACAGCTACGCTCTTACTTCATGATCTAACTATAAACATTGCTTTTCAGTCTCAAAGTTCGTTTTTCCTGCACAGATCATAAGTAGAAAATGTGCTTAATTCAAGGTTATAAAGTTAGTAATAGACCATTATTCTGTTCTGAAATTCTGTGTCAGTGTTTTCTGGGATCCTCTCGGTAGCAGCAGATCACAGCCATACCAGATCTGCTACTGAAGGGGAAGAGAGAACCTCAACTCCATCTGTGGTGCTGGTTTCTAGCTGTCCTGGGATTTTCTTACTCTTCTTCCTCTGGATTAGGAAAACAATTTTGGTTTTGGAGGAAGATAACATTAATTTCTAACTTTTCCTGGTTCCTCTGGTGCTTTTGTTTGCTCCCCCTTGCCCAGACCTGCGAGGGGGCTGGCACAGGCATGTTTGTGCCCGTGCGATGGGGCAAGCAGCACGTACAGCGACACTGGGGAAGCTGCAGTCGGCCCACCTTGCTCCTCAGGAAAAGGTTTGCTAACAAACTGGAAAAAGTTCGAGGAAAGGTGAAAAAAATAGCCGGAGGGCTGGGGTTGTGGTGACACATTAGAGAAGAGCTAAAGAGCTCTGGGTCAGTTAATAGGAAACTCAGTAACTGTCATCAAGGATTGGGAAATCTTGTCGGTATGGGAGGAGGAATACACTGAGGTGATAAAAAGGAGCGGAGTTAATTACTTCTAAAATTAAAAAAGAGGAAAAGGAAGTGACTCTGGATCATAACGCCGACTTCACGAAAGGTGGTCAGTACTGCAGGGGCTTGGAGCCCCCGGCTGCCCGGCTGCGCTGAGGGGGGGTTCCATGTTTTTCCAGGGGGCACCACTGGTGCTGCTCACGTTGAGCTGCAGGTGAAGGGGAGAAAGGGGCAGGGGGAAACCTCGAGGGGCAGGGGGACACCTCGAGGGGAAGGAGAGGGCAGCTGGCCATGGGAGCTCCTCCAAGGAGAGCAGGAGGGAACCAGGAGATGTTCACAGCCCACCAGGGACTAAAAGTGTTTGCGATCAGTAAGAAGCGTGACCTGCCCGTGACAGGCGGAGGGGACCGGGGGGGGGGGGGGGGGGGGGTAGGTCCAGCTGTGGGTCCCTGAGCTGCTGTGGCAGCCTTTGCCGTGTGTGCCGGCGCAGAGCTGGGTGCGGAGGGCGAGCAGCTCCCACCAGCTAATGGTGTCCCGGCTGCCGGTGCGGGAAGCAAGTTGCTGGTGTCTTTGGTGACTGCGAGCTCAGGACCGTGGCTCCATTGCATCGCTGCGGGTACAGCTGGACACCCGAGAGCACAGCACTGTGGCTCGTTGCTCTTAATACTGCAATCCCTTCATCCATACGAACCCCAGAGAAAAATCACTTCTGTAAATAAATGCTCTGCAGAAACACAAACTGTTTTCAACAGGAGGCTTGGCTGGAGCTGTTCCTCATCCCTAAACTCCCAATCCTATTCTGCCCAAACAGATGTCCTTCAGATGAGCAGGGCTTTCGGCCCTGTGCAGGGTCCTGCCACATCACTGTACAGCACCAAGGCTCTCGCAAACCCGCTTACAAAGCTACTGAGTACTGCTCAGAGAAGGGATGCCAGGAGCCCAGCTGACTCAGGGTCTGCAGGGGAGATGGCAGCGGGCAGAGACAGGGCACAGGGAAACCACGGAGCAATAATAGCTAGCAAGGAAAGCCACTTTCTTTAGGCAAACACTTGTAGCATCTCTTCACTTGCAGTGAAGAGCTGCTGTTGTTGGCTAAACGTTCCTGAGAAAAGTCGCACAACTTCACTCTCCAAAACACAAGTGTTAATAGATTTGGGCCCGTTACATTTGACTTGGCATAATAAGAAAATCACAGATGGAAACTGCTTAACATGGAGCTGTTCTTATCTAAATTTCAGTCAATGTGCAGGCATGCCCAGAAGCCATACAGCACCGATCTTTTACCTTCTTATATCTGAAGATGTTAAAATATTTTCTGTGATGTCCACTGTTGAGGTCTGTAGAAGCTACCGATACAATACTCTGATTCTTTCAGTGCAAATTTGCTGAAATTGTCTAAGTTCTGAATGTGTAACTCATACATAATCTGTGCAAAATGAACATGTGCCCTTTGCTGTCATTAGAAGAACGTTTACAAGTCTGAAGTCAAATACTCAGGCACTGGGAAATGCCAGAGTTGAAGCTATCTCTGTAGTTGTACCTCAGGTCATTTCCATGAAATGCTTTGAAGACGCAGAACACTTCTTGCTCGACTTCCCACCACCCTCCCCAGGCAGACTGAGCTTTATTTCCTTTTCTTTTCCCTGTGGATTTGGGACACTGAGGCCCAGAGCTGATGGGTTTGGGCTTGCCCAGGAGCAACCAGGAGTGAGCTCTCTGCTTGCCTCTATGCACCCAGCATGCAACCCCTTTATGTTACTGCGGATATACTTACTCTTCTCTACCTAAAATTGAGGAAAAGGACAGCTGGGGAGAAAGAAGGGGTTTTGCACTGCTGTTTTCTTCCCGAAGCATGTGGATGGGCAGGTGTGAGGCCCATCGAAGCACAGCTCAGGAAGGACCAGAGGAGTGTCATAACGGGGGCAAATAAGGAGCACATTGCTTGCAAAGACCAAAAGTCTCATTCTCCTTATCTCGGTTTTCAGAGCCACTTAATCCCCGCGTCTTTCTTTCCCCTGTGTAGCTGATGTATCGGGAAATGGATGCAGAGCAGCTCCATGTGTTCCTGCCTTCCCTGGGGCTTGCACAGCATGGCTGGTAGTCCCTCCATCCCTCGGGAGCGTGGGGAGCACAGGCTGTGTATGTGTAACACCCCACTTTCTACACGGTATTTGGCTGCACATCCCGGTCATCTTCTTGGCAGCTGCCCCCAGGAACACGACTTCGTTATTTATGCTGCTCCCTCTCCTGCTCCCACTGTGTGGGTCCAGAGCCTGTGATGAGTTTTCCCTCGGGTGAGTGACTCAAGTGGGAATAAGACCCAGCAGCCGTGCTGGATACTGCCCCAGCAGTTTCCACTAAATTAACTCTGGAAGACAGCCAGTAAGGAAGACCAGTAACCAAGGCTTGGCATGCTGCTCACTGGGCTTTCATGCCCCTGCAGGCTGGCCTCAGTCCCTCGCCCTGAGACCACTCGACTTCCAGCCCTCTGAAACTTCTGAGCACCTCTCCCACAAACAGCAGCACTTTCTGTAGGAGGGACAGTAGGTAGGCACTGGTTATGGGGTTAAAAATGGCTGGCAAAAATACTGTCTCCATCCCTCACTGGAAGAGCGTGGGATGTGCTCTGAGCACAGCCATGGGGCAGGTCCTGCAAATGAGGTGGTGGCTGCCCTCTCCCGTGACTCCCACCAGGGTGCAGGGTGATGCAGCCTGGACCTGGGCAGCTGTGTGCCCACCCGGCAGTGGCGACTTAAATGCAGTCTCTGGACACCCAGATCTATGTTTGTTCAAAGGCACTTTAAGTACTAGTGTTGTCCAAAACCCTGGGTTCTTTTACCCAATGTGCAATGAGCCAAAAAACGCACAGAGCCAAGATATTTGTTTAATCCATATCTGTACAGGGATGGGTGCTAGGTAGTAATTCCATAAAGCTAGCAGACCACACACAGTCAAGCGACACACACATACTCTTCAAACTAGAGGAATACACATTTAATGTAATGACCACTGGTTATTTTCTTATCACTTTGTTCCTCATTGTTTAAGAACATGCCTTGTCTTGATTTAAAGTTACAGTGTCTTTTTATTGTTCTGCAAAAACTCAAAGGGTGAGGGTCTTATCTGAGTAGGGGGCTTTTTCTCATCAAGAGGTGTGGTTTTCACATTATAATGAACTAAATTCATCTAAAGGACACAACTTGGACAGTCTTTAGGGTATCTCTGAGCACATGACCAAGGGAGGTTTCCTTGTTCCTCAATTCAAGGTTCTGTCTGTTCTTTTATCTTCTTCCCTTTGCAAGGCTCTACTATCTTTGAGTCTATCATCCCGTCCCAAGGCCTTGTCCTGTGAAATGTTTCTTCTTTGTTTTAACAGTTAATCTTTCATCACTAAACCCCACCCAAACTCACACTCTGGCCCCCACTGTAGTATTGGTGAGATACCTGAGAACTTGGTAAAGGTGAGCTAACGACATGCCTCTTCCATGATGTTCAACAGAAAAGAAAGCTGGGGCATGAAGGTGAGGATGAGAGGTGGGAATGTAAGTGGCAAGTTTGAGCTACTTTTCAGAGTCCAAATTTCCTTTGTCTTTTTTTGTTTGTTTGTTTTCCTTTAAAGACAGCAGAAGTATGGGATTTTGAAATGGGAAAGCAATTGTTTGAGTTCACTGATGCTTCACGGAGGGGCAGAAATCACCTGCTTGACTTTTGATAGCAGTGGAAGAAGCTATATTTCTTTTTATAGCGGTTACATCTCTGTAGGCATTACTGCCAGTGCCTGCAGCAAAGAGCTCTGCATTTGAGTCCTGTGCTAGGCTGGCTACAGGAGGCAGAGGTGGATGCCTGAAGATGATAGGGAGTTACCACAACAGGCATTGCCTGCATGCTCTGAAAAGTGGTAAGCCGTTTGCAAATTTCTGGAAGACTGGGAAATATTTAAAGGAAGTAAATGAGAGTAGATTGTGGAGGTTTTTTTCCCCTGCAGAAGGAAAGTGTGATGAGATCTGTGACTGTATGTATGCAGAGGTGAACAGGAGCAAGTAAGGTCTCCCCTGACATTGAGTGAGCCTTGTCTCAGGGCCAGATGCATTGGGTGGGAGTTTATGCTGCAAGTAAGCGTGCTTTTCTGTGGGAAGTTCCTCCCCTGAGACATTCCTGAGGGATTAGTCAGATGCGTATGCCTCCGAAAGAAACATATACTACAGCTTCTGGAAAGAAACGATCAAAAATAAACCCAAGCAGAGCTGTGGTGCAAGCAGATGGAGCTGCCCAGCCTGGCCAAGCAGGCTCAGGCTGTCCATGGCTGGGTCTGCTCACCCACAGAGTGTGTGCAAGTCAGATGGTGCTCGAAAAACCAGGTTATCTGTGCCCCTGATCTCCTACACCACAGAAAACACACAGGTGCTATTTGTAATATAGCATCGCACGCAAGCCAGAGCGTTCGGCACCCATCATAGGTACAAGCACATCGATGAAAGGTTCAGTAGTTTCTAAGAGGAATAGTAATTCCAGAGCAGGAAATTATTACTATTCCATCCTTCTGGAGACCAGCAGGTAAATTTGCCCAAGTTTGAATATTTGAACTAACCAAGTGTAAATAACACATCTCTCTCTAATTTTGGAAAAGTATGTCGATAAATCAAAGACATCCTGAGCAGTGTCCTGAATGTTCTTCTAGGTATACTGTGGCTGTTGGGTGGGACAGAAGAATAAATGTGTGCTTTGTAAGTAGAAAGACTTCATCTAAAAGAGATGGTCTATTAGCATAAAATAATAGGAAATTGTTTTAAAAGAAAACCTGATGCCAGTGTTTAGGTCTTGGTAAAAAATAAAACAGAACAAAAATCACTTTGCCACCGCTAGAACCTGCTGTCTGAGCTTGAAACCAAAACTATGACCAAGACAAATCTTTGGGGATCTTTCCACAGGGGAAGTGGTGTTACACTAACTGCCCACCCCTTCTGCCTCACCCTGGAGAAACACCCAGTTGCTTGGCTGTGGGTTGACTTTGGGAACTGGGAGCAATTTCATTGAGTTCAGCTTGACTAATCAACCCAGAGAGCCGGGTATGTCTGTATGTCTTTGCAGAAGTGCTACTAGGCTTTATTGTCCTCTAAACACAGTCTTGGACCATTTGTTGGGAAAAACAAAACAAAACAAAACAAAACAAAACAAAAAACAAACAAGCAAAAAAATCTGTGTAAAGCTGCATTTGCCAGTGATCAGAGAAGTGTTCAGCTGCCTCCTGTTGGGTAGCCAAATTGTGGTGACAACAGCCAAAGTTGGATTTTAAATGTGGAGAGGAAGCATGTTTGTTACTTCTGCTGGCTTGAAGGGTCTGCTCTTTCCTTACAAGGTCCAGGATTCCCTTTGGAGCCCCTGGGAGACACCAGCAGGCATTTTCCCCCAAAAGATGTTTTCATTATCACGAAATGGTCATTTGTTGGAACCAAACGGCTTCAACAAACTGGGCAACATGGAGAATGGGACTGAATGGGAAAGAAAAAGCTTGTAATTAGCTGCTGGCTATTCTGGGACACTCCTCCTGATTGCTTTCTCTTTAAAAGAAAACACAGTTCATTTTATCCAAAACTGGGGGAGGGGGGGAAGGGGAGAAGTCAGAAACCTCTTTACCATCAGTGAATTTCCCATTTTCTGGCCAGCTCCTTTTGCCAGTAGGGCTACACAGCCTGTGTAGCACTGACCTTCCCATCCTCTGATCCGGGAGCACATGTCTGGGGCCAAGGAAGGTAATCCTTTTCTGGCAGTGGCCAAACCAGCCTCCCCCTTTTTGGTCTCCTTGGTCTGGGACTCAGCAGACGAGGTCCACCACACTCAGAAACTTCAGCCCTTTGACAGGATGACATAGTAAGGATCCACCTCAAGTCTGTATTTCAGATACATTATTCAATTAAAGCAGTAAGTTATGGCATAATGTAAGTCAGCATGGCACAACAGATAAAGACTTGGTCTTGATTTAATTCAGGCAAATGAGATTTTCGTGTTAAACTTAATTCACTCTTAGCATCACGTGGTTCTTGGTCAGTAGTTTTCATATGGTCTAGGAGGAGAAGTCAGAGACAGAAATGATCTGAACATGGGGAGGGCTAGGCTGCATGGTTGTGAACTGAGGTGGGAGGTGGAAAGCAGGTGCCACCAAGCCTGTGGCAGGGTCAGGCTTATGTGTATGGTCTGACCAAGCCAAAGGACCTGCCGAATGTGAGGGAAGGATGAACGCTTTCCCTTTCGTGGCTCTTCTCTCCTTCCAGCCATGCCCACGGTCAAAAGAAGATATCCTGTGTGTTGGCCACCGTCCACCGGCTCTCCTCGCCTCAGCTGGCTACGGAGGTGACGCTGTAGTTTGGATCGTGCCCTCTGGCTGTGTCTGCCGCAGGATTCACACGATGCATCCCACCGACTGCGCCGGCGGCGGAGGCAAGTGCTGCTTGGGAAAACCGTAGAGACAACGAGTATACCCCAGCTTTTCCAAAATCTTTGCAAAAGGAGCATCGGAAAAGTATTTAAGATAGATTGAAATGGTTGGCTTTGACTTTTATGGGGTTACTTCTGGCATATACTTATTTTACAGATTATAAACATAATCTGAAGTGTTCTTCTAAAGGAAAACAGAACTGGTTTTGTTCTGAAAATGCTAAAACAGCCTCTTTTAGAGACTTGCTGGACTTCTTTACTAAAGCGCTGCTCCAAACTGAAACCTTAGTAAAAGCCATCATTCAGCAGCCTGCTTTGCATTTCGGTAGACTCAAGTTTTCCAGTGTAAAATGTTTCCATCTTTCTTTGACTAGCTGTGCTGAAAGACATCAGAGGTGATATCTGATACCAATAGCGACCTTGAGAGGCTGTAAAGGGGCAGCTCTAATAAATACATATTGGTACATGACAGCTGGCTAAGAAAAAGGCAAAGGTGGTGCGCTTATAATTTCAACACAGCAACAGGGGGATATCTTGCTGTGTCAATGTGATGTATTTTATTCATTTAACATTACTCATTACAGAAAAGTAATACCAAACTGTGTCATTTAAGTAATACTTAAATTCTTTTGCATTTAAGCAAGCTTGCAGTGAACATGTAATTTTTTTTTTTTTTTCTTCCTTTTGCTTTCTCAGCTGCAGCCACAAGCCGTAAAGCCGTATTGCTACAGGCTCACATGGCTGGGCTGGGGTCTGGAGCAGCAACTCTCATTTCCAGTGGGGCTCAAGGCAGGAGTTAACACTGGGATGTCATGAACGCCCCAGCACACATCACAGCTCTGTGCTGTACAGGGTGGTTTTATAAATGATCTGTACAATGTCAGTTTGGGTTTTACTTACAAAAAAGACTATGCTTATGTGTTTTTGGAAAAACATGAATTAGTCATTTCTCAGTTTGCAGTCATAACTAATCATCCCTCTCCCTCTGCTTTTAATCCCTGAGTCTGTAGATGCAGATTATTGATTTTTCAGCATCTTAAAAGAAATCCCTTAAATTGGTGACAGCACAACACGCTTCTCCTGTGGGGTAAAATCTACAGGACCGCTGGCCCTTGCATGAGGCGGTGATTCGTCCTGTGGGAGAGATCTGATTTTCCCTGATAGCATAACTTGCTCTAATATTTTTGAACTATTCTGGGGTTGGGTTTTTTTCATTAAATGTGGATATTTTCTTGTTTCCTCCCTTCCTTTATGTTAAAGTTTTGAATTACAGTAATCATTTGCTCAGAAGACAAATATCCAGAGAACAGCTGAGGTGGATAATAAAACAGAGAAAGCTGTTGCATTACAGTATGCTGGTGAATAAATACCTGGTAGGCAAAAGATGATCGGTGGAGGAAGGTTTGGGACCACTGCTTCTAACTCTAATTTCATCCCCTCTGCACTCCCCTCCCACCAGACTCATATTCCACCATTACTGAGAAACATTTTTGCCATCACCATTTGTTTTTCTGCAGGTTCTTTCTACTCCTGGAGCCCTCTTGGGTTCACACCTGTAAACTTGCCCACCGGCACCTGCTCACCATGCAGAGCCGAGCTTGGCACCATTTGTGCAGCTCCAGAAAAATTGTGCATGAAGAGGGAAAAAAAAAAAAAACACATTCTGTCTGATGAGCTGCTGCAGACACGCATCTTTTCTTTGGGTTTGTTACAGGCTGCTGCATGATGCAGTGCACGGCCCTTAAAACAGGCCGTGTTGTATCATCACAGACTGTAAATTACCGGTTAATCACACAAGCAACCTGGATGTCCATCTTGGTCTGGAGCACAACGACAGCTCAGCTGTCACCCCCCACGAGCAGGTTCTCTGCACGGCCGATGGTGAGGGATGTGCCTGTGCTGACAGCACCAAGGGTGATGCCCTTGGGAATCCGGAGTGGGAGCCACCACAACACATGTGATATGGATTGTTCCTACCTAGATAAACTGTTTGAGTGGCTGTATGTATGCGTGTGCATCTGAGCAAACATGATAAGAGAAAATAAGGATTTAAACGAGCAAAGTCCTGCCTATGATTTATGGCTATTAAAAAAAAAAAAAAAAAACCACAAACCCCAAACAAATCAGAATCCTCTCTCCTCCCCCACGTTAATCTCTCTTCTCCTCTTGTACGTTCTCATAAATCTGTCCTTGGTAGTGCCATGGCTTATTTTCAGCACAGCTAGGTTTGCCCCTGTGTAGCATTTCAAGTAAAACAATTTAATGGCCCATTGGCTAAACGCTGACAAACCTACTTTGAATTCAGTAGGAGGTAAGGACTGAGCAAAATCTCAGCAAGGACTTTGGTATAGCATCCTGCGACACTCACACCCTGGCAGTTTAGTGGGAGCTATTTACCCATATGGGTCTGTTTCACGCTCGGCATGAAAACTGTTTTAACATTTTGTTGCATTGAAGCAGTACTACTAAGGCATGGACTTAGTTTTCATCTGTTGGGCTTTGTGCTCAGCCCTGCACAAGGCGTGTCCTCCTTGCAACATCATTCAGTGACACGTTCATCACTATTGACCTACCTCTGTGTATTACTGCAAATTCAATGGGATAGTGCAGGTTTATTCTTTATTTGGCTATAGATAGGTATCATTGGCGAGCATACATAAACACAGTTGTATTTTAACTGTGGTCTTACAGAGCTCAGTTTGGGTTGTGGAAATACCCACAAAGTACACAGGCCTAGAGCCAGCTGCTCTTCAATGGCAATGTGATTAGGTTACTTCATTACCAGCCCTCCTGGCAGCAGTGAAAACCTCAGCTCTGCCCTCTGGCACAGTCCAGAGGTTGCCAGCAGTGATCACTTCTCAAATCACGTGAAGCGCTGTTTCATGATGCCATTTCTACCTCAGCATCATTTGGATTTCTCTGATGCTCCCAGGAGCCTCAATCCTCAAAACAAGGGGCTGTGTCACAGCAGTGCCCCTGGGCAGGGGTACGGTATGTGCAGTCAGAGATCCTTGGTCAGAAAAGCCTGGTGCCCCCAGCTCCGATGTAGTCTGACCCCTTGGTTTCCTTTCAAAATCCCTTTGGGGGATCCCTCTCCTCCCCATTCTCTGGAGCCTTTGGGCTTTTTCTATTTTCCCATACGCATCCTACATTCTAAGGAGGAAGAACACGGTCAAACAATATTCAGAATTTACTTACTTCAGCCAGAAGAACTAGAGGACAGCTTTTAAGACACTTTTAAATCTGAAAATGCCCATGTTAAGAAGTTTTATGATGCTCGTTATGCTTTTTTAACCAAAAAAAAATCCCACCACCAAAAAACCCAAACTACTGTGGAAATGTTATGCTTAAATCATATTTTCTCCTATGTAGTTTTGTCTCCTTCACCACTTTTGAAAGTCAGCTGAAACTATCTGAATTAACATCCGCTGAAATCAATACCAGTTTGGGGGATTAATCAAGGTCCATAGAATAACATCTGTCTTAGAAAAATATTCCAAAAATATATACATGTTCATGTAATCTTCAAAGAGTTTTGCTTAATCACAGGGAAAAACAAAATACAGAAATATATGCATATGACAAACATTATCTGTAACAGAGCAGTAGATACATCTGAGCACCTGATTACCAGGGTAAACAGAGGAGTTAAAACTTCCACTCAAATTTAGTAACTCACATGGCAGTCCAGTATTCTCATCTACGCTGTTAAAAGAAGCAGTAGCCCTAATTCACATGAACGAAGAGCCAGGAGCCAAAGATCAGTCATAGCAAAGCTTCATAAGTCCCTCCTTCCATTACAGCTTGTTTAAAACAGTGACACTTTTTTCTGTTACGTGTATATTGTGACCCTGCTTTCTGCTCCTCCTCTCCCCAGAACTAAAGACTTTAGAGCTGGTATTACCCTGAGCTTTGAGACGAGACTTCCTTGTGCAGCTCTTCGCACGGTTACCTTCCCTCCCACCCCCCAGCCCCCGGACCTTTGGCCAGGCTGAGCTCGGGAGCTTCCCACTCGTGCTTCCTGGAAACACTGGGAACAAAAGGATGAAATTCAGTGTGAGATGTAGTAGACCACCATGTGAGAAATGGAAGCTTTGTTATACATGCAGCAAGTGTATTGGGTATTCCAGAGAGATTATCTTATTTTGGCTCCATCGTTTTCATCACATACATCTATGAAGGAAGTAAAACCTATTGCAAAAATGAGAGAAGAGGTAAATAATAAAAGGAACATTTCACTGAGGGTCAAGATACCTAACCAAATGTTAAAATACATAATTTGAACTGTAATAGTAGTCAGTCTATGCACTGTTAGTCTATCAAGACATTCTAGATCAAACCCTTATGAGAGAGGTTATAGAGTAGACAAAAGTAGACTTAATATTTTACCTTTATTATTTATTTTGCCTTTATCCTTTTGTGGTTCTTAGTGGATTAAAATACTTAAAAATTTGATTTTAAAAAGTAATTTCTCAGGCTGTGCATCATTTCATAATTTTTAATTCCACTAAACCTTTTGAAAAAAACATAATGGCAAAGTAAAATACAAGAGTTCCGGTAAGTCTCGTGTATTTTACATAAGTTTGAATTATCTAAGATTCAGAATTACAGAAAGATTGAATCTCAGGCAATTTGATGTGTGTTGTAAGCTTATAAACTTTAAAATTAAGACAGAATTAATTCATAAATCTTATGTCAGGAAGGTAATGACAGTTAAGAAAAATTTTATAGGTAACTGAAGTTAATATAATGACCCAGTAAGGCAGTCTGAGTAGGTGCTTTTTGAGTGTTTTCCACTCGCATCCTTAAACATTTTTAGTGGGGATTTGACCTCCTCGTACACTTCACACAGATTTCTAGAGAAGAAATAAATGTTTGAATTTATTAGACACTTTTCTAGGATCTTTCAAAGAAGCAGAGTCCAAAAAATCTCAGGACACAGCTTGAAAGAAGCATACCTCAAAAATAAAAAAATGCAATGAATACTGATGTAAACTCCCCCTTTTAGTAATGCCACAATAGCAAAACAGTTGTAAAGACTTTGGTAAACTTGGGAATTTAGAGAAGCACATTGTAATTAAATATAACGACTTAACACACACTATTCAAAATACACCAAAAGAATTTCAAAAGCTTGGTTTAGAGTAGTCAAGTTCTCTTCTTTTGGAAGAAAAAAAAAAAATAATTCAAACCTTTGTGCAGTAGTCAGTCAGTGACAGAATAAGGCTACTACATGCCCGTGCCAGTAAGATTAAAGTGGCCGTCAGTCTATGCCTTGCGCTGCTGCCTGTTCTTCCAGTATGTCACAGCATGAAGGAAACTGCCCTCCTGAACATCCACACCTCCCTATGACTGATGCTGAGATCAAAGTGGAAACACACACACGTGTCTGGTAAAAGGTAGATTAGAAAGCCAAGAAATTCATTACACTGGGGGGAGGCGAGAAGAAGAAAGGTTGAATCACCGATTTCTGCTTTAATTTCCTCCCCACCCCTCAGGTTAAAGCACAAGCGCTGCAAGAATTTAAATAAGCCACTTAATCATAAGGGATCAATCACTTACCACACCATTAGCTGCTATGAAATAGTTAATGTTCCAGAAATCGGAAAAAAAAACAATTTGTCTGTTCTCTGTGCAGATTCCTTTTATAAAGGTTCATTAAAGGAAAATTAGAGCAGTACCTTCTATAGAGGTAACTGAACAAATGACAATCCGTCACTCCAGGGCCAACAAAAATTCTTTATGTAGATCCAGGACGATGTTCTGTCAGAATTCTACTTCTAGTTTTCCTCTGATCAGGCTAAGCTCCCTGCTATGGCATCCTACTGATTTTGCAACACAAGTTCATATCTTTTAGTGCTAGAACCACAATTTCCATTTCAGCAATAACCTAAGCAAGCAGTAGCCCGTTACAAAACTTAACCCTTGATGTTACCACTCAACTGGTACCACCACAGAAGTACTTTTCCACACTCCAAACATGGTTTTGAAGTCTGGTCTGACTTCCTATTCTTTAGCTCTAGGAAGAGGATGAGGAATAATCAAAGTATTCTTAGTGATGCTTACT